ATGAGGCTGAGTACTTAGTTAGCTGCCATGTGATGAGACTGAGTACTTAGTTAGCTGCCATGTGATGAGGCTGAGTACTTAGTTAGCTGCCATGTGATGAGGCTGAGTACTAACTGCCATGTGATGAGGCTGAAATTACATGAAATTGAATCAGTAGCACTATATTAGCATAGAAATAAAAAACAAGAGATTTCCTGTAACATCATTAAGGGCAGTAAATGATTTCTGCCAAAATATTGTCAAAATGAATGGCAATAATTTAAGATGTATCTCAAGGGTATCAGCAAATGTAAAAATAATTTCTTGTCATCTTTTATGTATTGTTGAAAGGATAAAAACAAAAGACAATGCCTTATAGACGTCAGAGGGCAGTATAATCTAATTAAGTTTTTTTCTCTTCTGTTTTAGTGTTCCTCAGAATGTGGTGATGGCAAACAGAGTCGTACTGTGTTGTGTGTTAATATGAGGAATGCTGATAACTATCATGTGGTGTCTTCGGGTGCATGTCAGACATCAGATAAACCATCTACTACACAATTCTGTAATCTTAAACCTTGCCAGGCACAATGGTATAAGACACAATGGACTGAGGTAAAATTTCAATATTGGAAAATATTCGGCTTTTTGTGACTTCATAAATTGTAATATCTCTTGTCTTTGAATAATATTATTTGTATGATATATTGTGAATATCTTCATAGAATAAATGTAAACCATTGAGTTTATTTCTGTCATCATACCTGTGATGTTTTGTTTGAAATTGTCACATGTGACAAGTAATTTATCACATAATGATTATAACATCTTTTGAATACTCGCATGGAATTTGAAATCTAAGGAATAAATATCTACATCTACCAGACCCTATTAATCAAACAAATTTCCTTGTGTGTCGTATTTGAATAATATAGAAACATGTATTTACAAATTAGTTTGTTTAGTGAATGTCATCTCTGTACCAGTCCAATTTAGAAGCTGTCGATTAGTAAAGTTGTTGCACAGGTAATGCAAGTCACTCCTAAGTAGCACTGACCCTCCCCCTTTCAAAACAAAACAAAAACAAATGTTCCTTTTCCGTGAAATTTTGAAAAGTGTAAATCCATATAGTTCAGTTTGCCTATTTATTTATCTACCTACATGTATGTCTACATTTCTGTTTTTTTATAAAGCCTGTTTTTTTTGGAGTGTATACAATGGTTTACCTTTATTCATGTCTAATTCTGGTTTGTGTATTGCGTTGCTTTTTCGTCTTTTGTGTCTTCACAATTTGTTATTGTTCACATAGTGGATGCAGAGATGTGTCCATATATTGGAGTATAAGATAATTTTTTTCAGGTCATCCATGTGACAAAGCTGTAGATAGTGTTTGTCAATAGAAAGTTCTATTCTATGTAGTGAATATTATAATGATATGTTTTGTATTGTTTTGATATTTGACAATTGTTGACAGCATGGCCAGTTTAATTTAGCATATGTGTTTTGTAGGCAAAATTGTAGCCACATGCGCCACATAATTGCAATAATAACAATTTTTTTTTAATTTTCTTCTCATCAAATCAAATGCGTTTCCCATGTGCCAGTTTTACTGATCGATGACTCCCTTTGTTACCTTACATTTTTTTTACAGTGTACAAAAACGTGTGATGGCGGCAGTAGAAGCAGAGAGATAAAATGTCTGGATGAGGAAGGCCATCATACTCAATATTGTAGTGATGATAATAAACCTTCAACCAGAGAAAGTTGTAATATTATGCCATGTCCTACAAGATTACCTGGTAAGTTGAAATACAGTTTTTGTGCCTCACAAAAAATGTATTTAATCATCAAGGGGTTCAATGATTACCCTCCAGTGGTGAAATTAGATCAAGCACATTGTAGTTTTTGAGACTTATGGTTTGATTATTATATGCCATACATGGTACTTTTTATTATTTACTACTTTTGGAAATTATTTGCTCTTTATTTTGCTAAATTGGGTTGATTTGATTTAATTTAATTTGTACATGCATTAATTTTCTGTTGAATTAATATCACAGTATTATTCATATCTACATGTGTATAATAAAGTACATAACTTTTTCTAAACAGTTGATTTTTAAACGTTATTCTTAGTGTTGTATGATCATTACTGTCGTTATAGTTTATTACTAATTGATTCCCAGGGTAACTTAGAATGTAGAAAATAAATAGACTGATGTTAAGGTTACATTTAATGTATTACCATGATACAAACATAAATAACAAAGGGCTTGTATATTGTGGCCACTGAAGCATGTCTATGTTGCTAATATAATTTTCATCTCTCTTAGATGGAGCATGTAAAGACAAGTTTTACAACTGTAACATTGTATCACAAGCCAGACTCTGTCAATATTCCTATTATAAGAAGGAATGTTGTTTCTCTTGCTATGGAAGGTGATAGACAGAGATAAACCAAGACCCAGCAGCTGAAATTTGACATTGTATATATTTATATAGTGTATAGTATACAGCATTGTCATATATTTGATTCAGTTGCATTACCTTGGCATCAGTCTCCAGTTTGCTTTGTGTCAATGGAATAATTTACATAATCACAAGAAGTGAAACAAAAAATGTTATATAGTAGAGACAAGTGACAAAACATGTTAGAAATTGATTGGAAAAAAGGGAAAATACACATATTTTATAGGAATTATTAATACAAATAGCCCTGATTTCAGTCAATTTCAGACAATCGCAAATGTAAATGTTGTATTTTGGACATGCATGCTTTGTCAGTTGTCATTCAAACTTGGTACATAGATTATACATGTTAGGATACATGTCCGTGACGATTTATTTCGCAATCACACGTTTCTTGGCTGAAGGGAAGAGTCAGCAAAAATAAGGTCCAGTGAATATTTTATTTATCCTATATTTTATATTTAACTCATCAATAAACAGTGAAAATAAATTCCATACAAAACACCCAGAAAGTCCTTTCAGCGGAAATTAATTCTTGGTAAAATAAAAGTATTTTACAGTTGTACTGTTGTTTCTATTAGCAAAATGATTCAGCATATGACACTTGTAATCTGTGGTTTATTATGCCCAGTATACATGTATGTATGAACTGCACAAAGAAATAAGAAATTCCATTTTTACATTTTGTCCAAGGTCTTGCTATGATATTTTCTGATAAACAAAAATGATAATAGTGCACTTTCAAATACTAAATATGTCAACATTTGATGCCAGGTTTTAGCGCTGTCAAGCATGATGTGAATCTGAAATCTAACACTCTGCAGGTTATGCAATAGCTGTTCTATACTGAAGTATTTTTTTAGTATCATATATCTTAAAATCTGTCAGCGTATTTAACTGATATTTTGCTTACAGTATTATAATAGTAATTAACTCATATAATTTAGCACTGTCTCAAGATGCAGTACAAGTTGCTATAAATATTATGAAACAATATTTCTGAAATAACACAGATGAATGAGTTCCCATTTGTTTTGTAACAATCTTTTGTTGTATACAGTTATCCAGTGTCTGATTAGAAAACATGGATATGTAATAAAAGACATGTATTACTTTTATCAATTCTTGTAAAAAGAAACAAAGTACAAACTATTTTTTCAACTTCTTTGTTCTTCCTATTTTGAACAATGACATTTTTGCTGTCACTTATTCAACAAATAATCATCTTAAAACAAATTGTAGTGTTCATGTTTGATGTTATTTCAATATTCATCAGTGGTACTTTATCTACCTCAAATAGCCAGTTTTCTTTCAGTTGACTCAACCTGAACCAATAATGAATATGGTTGTTTCTAGGTTAAAAAATCATGCAAATACAATCATTTTACTATCAAGTTGTTTCTAGCTTGTCCGGGCAAAACAAATTTGTCTACGTTAACAATTGATTTTTTTAAAGATGTAACGAAAGTCCTCACCGTGAAAGATTGTTTGTATGCAACATGTGTTGTTTGTTATTCATTTCATTGACCTTTGACCAACTGGTGGCCCTTTTTTTTGTCCAAAAATAACTGAAATCACAAAATGTTTTTTGGCATGCTTGGGCAGATTTGATTAAAACAGATGAGTGGCTTTGCACTCTTTGAATCAACAAATATACAGGAGGAATTTGTATGCACAATTGGAAAATGTTTTTCAGGATTGGTTTATATAGATTACAATTACATTCACAGTGTAATCCTCAAAATCCCATGTATTGTACAAGCTTGTATTGTTTATAAACTATCATGATTTACCTAAACTACAAATAAATAAAAAAATAAGTAGCTTATTATAATCGCATTGTATGCAACTTTGATTATATCGGGTAAATTGTGTTTCAGTCTTAAAGTATATCCATCTTCATTAAATTTATGCTCAATGATTTATGCTCAAACTTGTATTCTGTTAGTAGTATTTATAACTCTGTATTAGAAATATTTAGCATTGGATATACTAGTATTTCATGAATTGTGCTGTATTTTACTTGAACAGATACCTGAATTACATTTACAATTGTACATGTACTTGTTACATTACATTACAAAGTCGGTCTTGTTCAGGCTAAGAGGGACATCCCATCCTCTCAATTTAAAAAAATGGAACTGCTGTTTAGTGGATTTGCCTTTCCTCATTTTTAGATGGTCTACTGCCATGTTATTGCACTTTCAAATACATTTCACCATCTTGTAAATCAAAACATGCAAATCTAATGGCAGTGGAGTTAGTTATCTTTCTGCTAATTTATCTACTTTACCCAGCTGTATATATATCAATATTATTTTTGTTTGGTATAAGAAAGTATGCATGTCAAAATCATTTCAAATTTAGATGTGTATTGTGAATGTTTTGTTGTACTATTACTTCTGAACTATGCAAATAAATTTATTAATGTGTTTTCATTGCATGATGCTACCAGATGATTATTTCAGGGTTCAATCTTCATGTTTTCAACACCCTCATCCAACCAGTTGTGTTAAATTACAACTAGGCAAAATTGCATTTTCAAAGTTTGCTTGAATTTTTGTATTTGTATATGCCTACAAATTATCAGAAAATTATTAGTCCCCGTTTGGAAGAAGTCTGAAAACGGGGACTTATAATTTGGTCTCCGTGCGTGCGTGCGTCCATCCGTCATATCTCAGAATCCCTCGGACCGATTCCGTTCATTCTTTGCCAAGTACTTTATGTGGGACATATGCACATGCAGTGGTTTAGCGGTTCGATTCAAAATGGCAGACTGGCAGCCATCTTGTTTTTTGAAAATGTTGTATTTTGGACATGTTTTGTCATTTTTCATTCAAACTTGGTACATAGATTATACATGTTAGGATACATGTCCATAACGATTAATTTCGCAATTGGATCAAAAATGGTCGACTGGCAGGCATCTTGTTCTTTTATGCGGTATCTTGGATGTGCTCTGTCAGTTTTTATTCAAATTTGGCACATACATGTACTTTATACATGTTAGGATGCATGTCCATGACAATTTGTTTCAAAATCTGATCAAGGATGGCCGAATGACAGCCATCTGACTTTTTGGCCTTACTACTATATTTCCACAATTTATGTACCATTTTCATTTGTATTTGGCACAAACATCATACATATCAGTGTGTTTCATAATCAGATCAAAGATGGCCGAATAATGGCTGTTTTTATTTTTGGCCATATTACTACTACACGGAACACGTGTTTTGATGTAAATAAACAATCTGTTGTATACGCCACTTGGAACTCAAGTTTCAAGGACACGCTTGCGCCAACCCCTCCACTTTAATATGACGAGCACAAAGAGAACTGAAAATGTACAATCTTCATCCAAGTTGATCGTGATTGACTGGTATATGTTCCTCTTGTGAACATGGAAGACTAAATTGCTTCAATTTCCAAAGTCATCACTCAATAAATTGTCAGATAGAAAAGCTTTATTTAATTAAAAATATTGCACGTAACAGTTGGAATGCATCAATATGAAAATCATTGATAGAAAGTTTACACATAATAATGGAACCTCTATTTACTTTATGTTCAGAACAGTATCATTGAAATTGGTCGTTGCGTGATCAAGGGAAATGTTGACAAGTTTATTAACTAGACTTCAATATTGTTTAGTAATAAGGAAATAAATTATATAATTTTTATAAAAATTTGGCAATAAAATGTGTTGTACCATAAAACCCCAATTTTAAATAAATTCATGTTGGAAGGTATAAATAAGTTAGTCAAATTATTTTACTTTTAAAAATGCTTAAAGCATGCATAGATATGGCAATCAAATATGAACTAGTATTGTGTAAAACTATTATTATAAACAGTAACCCACTCACAGTGGGCACAAACAACTTGGCCATGGTATGTACCTAGACAACAATTAAACAATAGGAATCAAGTGGCATCTAGGTTAGTGAGATTGATATAAAATAAAGCAAATTGTATTCATAACATTTGATAGTGCCAATAAGAAATTCCCTCACAATATTCATAGGGGGACTTTTCTAATTCCCTGTATGAATTGAACAATTTTAGCAAATCAGTGAAAATTTGTAATTACTGTGATCTCTAAATGCTGATTAATTATATTATGAAACCACTGAAATCATTGACTTATATTGAAAGAAACAACAATAGCAGTATTTTCTAATATACATCATGATTCTATGATTGGTAATCTAGGCTAATGATTACAGACACTGTCAAAATGATGGTAAAGCTTCATCTGTTCATGACAGTCTAACAACCTGGGTCTTTCTCAAAATGAAATATTATTTCTGTGGCAAATATGCACATATTCAGATGATACAGCAGTGGTTTTTGATGTCCATCAGAATTTATCTGTTGAATTAAGCATTGAGTAATGGAAGATTGGGTTTGAAAGCTCGTTTTGTGAATTTACAACGGTAGTGGGCATCCATTGGATACACCTTGACTGTACTCTGGTTCTCGTAAATCCTTGACATCGCCATTGATCACTAAAGTCTGAATACACCCTCTCAGTGATTTGGTGTTTATACCATCCAGTACCAAGGTGGCTGCATAATCTATTGAACAAACACACAAACATTAATGTTCAGAGACTCTAAGGTATCATCATATGTCAATGGGAATTCTCTTTTTTCACATTGGTAAAATTAGAAGATGTTTATACATGAAAAAATAACAATAAAACATGAAAACATGCTACACAATCTAGAATCATCACAACACTGTGTGAAAATTAAGTAAGCAAGAATGGCAGTTATCACATAAACTACATCAAATTCACTCTAAATTTAAATATTGAGCCCCCCCCTCCCCCCCGCGCAATAAATAAACTGTGTTTGTAGCACTTGATTTTGGGGTCAGAAATTGATAGCGAACAATTGATGCAATCAAATTTTCATCAGTTTTTTTTTGCAAAATTTATTCATGTTATAAGATTTCATAACATTGCCA